CGCGACCGAACCCAGGCAGACCGCCGATGAACTGGCAGGGTCGCCATGTAGTGTTGGGCGGTTCGGGAAATAAATAAAACGTCCAGTAGTCTAGACTGTAGGTTTAATACTAATCCTCTCTTATTATATCCTACACAAATATATATAAGCACACACTACAATTTGAATATTTTTAACGATTATTTGAATCTTTTTGCCGATTATTCGCATATCAATGAATTTTAATCATCCAAACACTACGGTTTGGTGTCGTAAGAGGCGACAGAGGGAGACAGGCAGGAGATGGGCAGCAGCATCTTCCTGATAACAGCAACTGTACGACAAAAAAAAAACTGCGGTTGCCAACCAGCTCGCCAAGCGTGGCAACTATGGCAATATACCCCCCCATGAACAATTACACAAATAGACGGCCCCCAGTCCCCGGCGGCCCCGCTATTCCTGGCTACGGTGGCGACCATGGTAACGGCGGGGCAGGGGGTGCTAAGAATCTCCGGTGGAGGTTCGGTTGCCACCTACGACGACTCGACCTGGCAACATTTAACGCACGCACACTGAGGACTGACGAGAAGATCCTGGAGCTGGAAGAAGAGATAGACAAGTTGCACTGGAGTATTATAGGATTATCCGAGGTCCGAAGAGAGGGGGAGGACACGGTGATTCTCGAATCCGGCAACTTGTTCTATCACCGGGAGGGCGACCATCTGTCCCAAGGAGGTGTCGGATTTATCGTCCACAAGTCTCTCGTCAACAACGTTGTACAGATTGAGAGTGTGTCGACGAGGGTCGCGTACCTGATACTCAGAATCACCAAACGGTATTCGCTGAAGGTCATACAGGTTTACGCACCAACGTCGGCACATTCCGATGAGGAGGTGGAGGAAATGTATGAGGATATTTCCAAAGCCATACATTCCTCCAAAACCCACTACACGGTGTTGATGGGAGACTTCAACGCAAAACTAGGCACAAGAGAAAGCGGTGAGCTGAAGTTAGGGAAATTTGGAGTAGGGCAACGGAACCGAAGGGGCCAGCAGCTGGCCGACTTTATGGAGAAAGAGGGACTCTTTATGATGAACTCTTTCTTCCAGAAGCGGCCCCACAGGAAGTGGACCTGGTCGAGCCCCGACGGTTCGACAAAAAATGAGATTGACTTCATTATGACGACCAGACGCCAACTGTTCAGTGATGTCTCAGTGATCGCAAGGGTGAAAACTGGCAGCGATCACCGAATGGTTAGAGGCACACTGAACCTAAACGTTAAGTTGGAGAGGTCTCGTCTAATGAAGTCAACGCTCCGTCCCCCCTCGTGCTCTGATCCAAAATCCCGAAAACTTTCAGCTCGAGTTACACAACCGCTTTCAGTGCCTACAAGATTGCAATGCAGTGGACGATATGAATGACAAGCTCGTGGAAACTGTCCATGCGGTCGGAGCTAAGTTCTGCAAGACCCGCCGCAGAAGAACACAAAAACTCTCCGATCACACTCTTAATCTCATGGCTGTTAGACGGGAGATGAGGCTGCAATCGTCAACAGATTTGACAGCATACAGGCAACTGAACAGACAGATCTCCAAATGCATGCGGCGAGACTTACGCAACTTTAATACTGCTCGTATTAAAGAAGCGATCGAGCGGAACCAGGGCTCCAAAGTCTTTGCCAGAGATCTGTCTGCCAGAAAGAGCCAACTGTCAAGGCTGAAGACTGAGTGTGGCAGCATCGTTTCCGGGACACCTGAGATTTTGAGTGAGATTGAGAGGTTCTATGGGCAGCTGTACACATCATCGTTGGAGCCACACGCAAGTGTGAGTAACGATCCAAGAGCAAGTCTTATCCGACACTATTCCGATGATATCCCGGACGTCAGTCTAAGCGAGATTAGAATGGCTCTCCAGCACCTTAAAAACGGCAGGGCCCCAGGCGAGGATGGAATTACAGCGGAGCTTCTGAAAGCGGGTGGAACACCGGTACTTGAAGTCCTTCAGAAGCTCTTCAATTCCGTCCTCCATGGTGGCACTACTCCAGAGGCGTGGAGCAGAAGTGCGGTGGTCTTGTTCTTTAAGAAAGGCGACAACGCTCTCTTGAAGAACTACAGACCGATTTCCCTTCTGAGCCGCGTCTACGTGCTGTTTTCGAGAGTCATTACGAATCGTCTCGCACGCAGACTCGACGACTTCCAGCCTCCCGAACAAGCCGGTTTCCGAAAAGGCGTCAGTACCATAGACCACATACATACCCTGCGGCAGATTGTACAGAAGACTGAAGAGTACAATTTGCCACTTTGCCTGGCGTATGTGGACTATGAGAAAGCCTTTGATTCCGTCGAAATTTGGGCGGTGCTGCAGTCCCTTCAGCGGTGCCAAGTTGACTGTCGGTATATTGAAGTGCTGAAGTGTTTGTACAGTAGGGCTACGATGGCTATCCGAGTACAGAACCAGAGCTCGAAACCTATCCAACTGCAGAGAGGTGTAAGACAGGGTGACGTTATATCCCCGAAACTCTTCACCGCTGCTTTGGAAGACGTTTTCAAGCTACTGGACTGGAAAGGATACGGTATTAACATCAATGGCGAGTACATCACTCACCTTCGATTTGCCGACGATATAGTCCTTATGGCAGAATCGCTGGAGGACTTAAGCACTATGCTCAATGACCTCAATAGTGCCTCCCAACGGATAGGTCTTAAGATGAACATGGACAAAACAAAGATTATGTTTAATGTCCATGTCACACCTATGCCGGTAGTTGTTGGGAGCACTATGCTCGAAGTTGTTGACGAGTACGTTTACCTGGGACAAATAGTCCGACTAGGTAAGTCCAACTTCGACCGAGAGGTCAATCGACGGATTCAACTCGGCTGGGCAGCGTTCGGGAAATTACGACATATCTTCTCGTCAGGTATACCTCAATCTCTGAAAACTAAAGTGTACAACCAGTGCGTGTTGCCAGTGATGACTTACGGATCAGAGACGTGGTCCTTCACTGCTGGCCGTATGAGGACGCTCAAGGTCGCTCAGCGAGCTATGGAGAGGGCTATGCTCGGAGTTTCACTGCGTGATAGACTCAGAAATGAGGATATCCGCAGTAAAACCAGATTGACCGACATAGCCCAACGGATTAGTAAGCTGAAGTGGCAATGGGCCGGCCATATAGCTCGAAGAACCGATAACCGATGGGGAAGAAAGGTTCTCGAGTGGCAGCCTCGTACCGGTAGGCGTAGTGTAGGGCGACCCCCCCACTAGATGGAGTGACGACCTGGTAAGATATGCAGGAAGTCGATGGATGCAGGTGGCTCAGGACCGTGCTTTGTGGCATTACTTGGGGGAGGCCTATGTTCAGCAGTGGACTTGTGAAGGGCTGTGATGATGATGATCAAACACTACGGTAAGGATCATAGTGACATATCATTGAAACGACGTCAAGTAAAATAGTTGATACTGGCTGGCTATTGTTTTAATATTTTGTTTTGTTTGAAAGATTCGAATTTAAATTAGTGATAAAAAACTAAATACGTTGTAATTAAATATAGATAACTTCATAATTCTTCGGATTTAGGTAAAGGGTTATTGTAAATTGTATGAGTACGCTTGTGCAAAGTTATTGCGGAATGATTAATGTGAAATGTGAAAAGGTATTTCTTAGATTTGGTTGACTATAAATTTGTACATATTAAAATACAAAAGCGTGGATATTTTATTTTTAAAATTTTAGATTATGATTATAATTTTTGAATAACTCAAGGATTTGTATTTCGGATACAATATTAATTTTTAAATACATGACGGCAGAGATTTTCTTTTTAAAGCTATACATTATCTGTATTGTTTTTGAGTAAAACGAGGATGTGGGTTCGGATATAGTGTTAATTTTGAACTCCAAGATTTCTTTTTCAAAATTAAATACATAATATCTAAAGATAAATATATATATATATATATATATATATATATATATATATATATATATATTATATAAGAGACAAAATTCAAAAGCAGTATCACAATTTTTTCGAAAAATTAATATAGATATTTTTGTAAATATATTTACTTGTAACTAAATTATTTGTTTAGTATTACACACAATAACTGTTATATAATTAACAGTTGTTAAATAATTCATCATCATCATTACAGCCCTTCTAAAGTCCACTGCTGAACATAGGCCTTCCGCAAGGAATACTACAAAGCACGGTCCTGAGCCACCTGCATCCATCGACTTCCTGCATGTCTTACCAGGTCGTCACTCCATCTAGTGGAGGGTCGTCCTACACTACGCCTACCGGTACGAGGCTGCCACTCGAGAACCTTTCTTCCCCATCGGTTATCGGTTCTTCGAGCTATATGGCCGGCCCGGCCCGGCCCGGCTTACTAATCCGTTGGGCTATGTCGGTCACTCTGGTTTTACTGCGGATATCCTCATTTCTGAGTCTATCACGCAGAGCAACTCCGAGCATAGCCCTCTCCATAGCTCGCTGAGCGACCTTGAGCGTCCTCATACGGCCAGCAGTGAAGGACCACGTCTCAGATCCGTAAGTCATCACTGGCAACACGCACTGGTTGTACAATCTAGTTTTTTAGTTAAATAATTAACGCTACTATAATACTTAACGTGCCGTAAAATCGAACTTAGGTAATAGTGTAATAAAATATTATATAGTCTAATAAATATATAAATATCTTGCATTTGAAATTCCGTACTTTTTGGAGAGAATCTTTAAGTTGGGCACCCTACACACATTTGCTACAGTTGGCGCAAGTATAAGACAGTGATTTCACCCATACTACCAGAGCTATTTTAGTCATTATTATAAGGCAATGCGCAATCTAGACACGTAGTACGAGTGCGATCAAAGGGGGGAAAAGTATGTTTGGTAATTTATTTCTATTAGCTATATTATTTTAAACTGAACTGAATCATTTTATTATTTAACGCGTAGCTCAAAACCTAGCTGCAATGTAGTTTTATTGTTAGATAAGTATTTTAAAAATATATTCATTTACAGGAAATGGTACTAGAAACATGGTTTAATACGGGCGGCACGCTGCAGTTCACTCATGACGTGAAGAGGAACCTGGTGCCAGCTTTTGCGCCGCCTAATAAAGCAGCCTCACAAGTAAACCCGTTGCCCAAGTACGCGAATTGTACATATATATTATACTTTCCATTGATTTACGGCTTCTTCAGGGTCGTATTTTGCACAAAACAATCGTTTGTTGAAATAAAAATAATATAATTTTTGTCCTAGGTGTGGATGATTGTCCGGTAGTAATTTATGTATGTTGTTTGCGCCAAAAACACACATTTGCATTTGTGTTAATTAGTTGTTTAGATTAGCTGGTAATAACCTCCCTTCCCACTTCCGTTTCCTTCCCGCACGAGCATGCCCAATCGGGGGCTTGATTGGTGGCCTTGTTTTGTTCGTCCAGTGGGAGACGCGCTGGCCAAAAGTGAAAGGCGGAAGCACGCCGCCGGCAGACCGGCAATGATCGACCCTGTGGCCACTAAGGGCACCATAGTCGCCCCACCATTTTTGTAGTATTCATTTGAAAATAACCCCATATGTGATGAAACATCTCCAAGATATAGGAGAAAATGCTATTGTGACAGTAACGTTCACTTGTTTTTTTCTTTGTTTTTTATCCCCACACTAGGATTTTCTTCTGTATCGTGGAGGCAGTTAACATACATAAATTTCATAAAGACATCCTGACCTAGAACAATTATTCGTAGGCCATACAAATCTGTGCGAGATGCGAACCCTCGGCCTTGCTCTCTTTTATTCATTGCTAAGCCACTGTTCGTGTATCGGACCAATGTTCAATAATAATTTGAAGTATATGTTAAAACAGTTTATTAAACAAGTGAAAATATAAGATTAAGTTATGTTATGTTAAATGTTAATGAGTTGGCGTCAGATTACGCCAGCAGAAGTGAAGGGCTAGACCGTTCGTTACTTATTTGACAGTTTAAAGATATTATATAGTCTGTTCACTTAGTAGTTATACAGGGTGCTAGTGTAAACACCGTTATCCTTGAAACCAGTGGTTTGATTTCACTTATAGAACGTAAATTCCATGAAAAATAACAACATTTTTTTTAAGTAAAAATCTCTATTTTTCCTTAATTCCTCAATTTTTGCCTGTCCTAAGCCAGAATGAAAGTATGAAGGAAAGTTACATCACAGGTTATGTGTATCTATTGTGTTTTTATTGGAATGTTGTGTAGATAGCTAGGGCAGGCGGTGATCTTTACAGTGATTACGTCACTCGGGCGCATAGGGTATCCATGAATTTACGGACGGTGTCGGACAGAAACTTTTTAAATTTTATGAAAGAAAATATTGATTTTTTTAAATTCATTGAATTTACGTTCTATATGTGAAACCAAACCACTGGTTTCAAGGATAACGGTGTTTACACTAACAGCCTGTATAGTCTAGTCGCATTTCTGTGGCGCCATCTTAGCACGTGCCGCATCTTGGCAAAGGCGCCGCTGAGATATCTAAGGTCGCCGCGTGCGGCGTACACCCGTAGGAGAATTTGCCATTTTAAAACGAAGCGCTGTAGTAAAAGATTCTTTACTACCTAACTCATTTTTAAATGTTATGTGTATTTTATTAAAATAACAATTTTTTTATCGTTTTAGACTTCTTGAGGCGTGTAAACTTCTGAACATGGACTATGACGACGCCCGGCGCCTCCGTTCGATCCTCTCAAAGCAGCCAGCTGTGGGCACTGAGAGCCTTACTAACCACGGCATAACGCACATCCAGCCCAACGAAGCTCTTCAGATCCTCAGCCAAAGGACAGATCTTAGCGATGCCTCGACACCGTCGTCCGTTATGGAATTATTCTGAAGTTTTGAAGGAGGAGGCATTTAAGAACATTACTAAATGGAGCGAAAACAGAGCACTTTTTAATTGTTTATTGCCAATAGTTTTTATTTATTTGTTGTTTGTTTTTAATTTAAAAGATTTATTTGTTTTCTTATAGTCTTACTTATTATCCGGCAAAAATCGAGATTTATTATAAATGGTTAATTATGATATTTTTATAGAGTAATGAGAGAAATGTTTAAATGATTCTCTTTATGACCAATTCAAAGATTGGAGGAAATTAAACAATAATATAAGCAAATTTAGCTATCAATTTCTTGTTGCGTTTTGAAATTGCTAAGCTTTAACCAAAAATGTTGACAAAAATAAGATCATGCAATATTATCGCGCCTGTCGGATTATTTTATATATTCAAGGAAACGTAGCAGTTTTTCGGTTGAGTTAAAAATTTATATTTTTTGTAATATTTACTGACATGATTTAAATAACGATTTTTTTAACTTACACAAATTATTACAGTTTTTTAGCGAAATAATATTCATAGTTCTTTTTTTATAGGAGAAGGGGCAAACGGGCAAAAACTTTTAAAAAGGAATAGGCTATTTTCTTGAAGGCCCCTAAGTCGTATCGGTCCGGAAAAATCTCTTGTGGTAGTTGATTCTACAAGGAAGTAGTGCGAGGTAGAAAACTTCTTTTAAAGCGCACATTGGTAGACCGCGAGTCATCCAGATGGTATAGATGGTATCGCGTGTTTTGTCGTGATGTGCGATGGTGAAATTGTGCGGCTGGAATTAGTCCGAACAATTCCTCAAAGCACTCCCTGTGGTAGATGCGATAAAATACGCAAAGAGATGCAACATCCCTTCGCAGTGCCAATGAGTCAAGCCGACCGGAAAGATCTCGGTCGTCGACGACTCGACTGCTTTGTGTTGGATGCGATCAAATGGCAGGAGCTGGCACTGGGGAGCCCCAGCCCAGAGATGGGAACAGTCTTCCGTGTGCGACCGAACCTGCGTCTTGTAAAGTTGCAGGCGGTGTGCCGGCATGAAATACTGTCCCACTCTGCTGAGCACGTCAAGCTTTTTAGAGGCCAATTTGGTCTTCTCTTCCAAGTGACCACGAAACTGCACGCCACTCGATATGTCGACGCCGAGGATACCGATACTGGCTGAGGCAACAAGGGGAGGGCCTTGAAACTGAGGAGATACGACAAACGTTGGCTGTGTGTGTTCAGTTCATATTTACGCGTCGGAGTAGACTAGTGTCAGCTTAATAAAATTGTTTCACGAACATGGCGACATGAGCTAATGAAGAAAATTTTTAGGTTCATTGATTATTATCACAATTAATCTAAAAAAGTTATATGGAACCCCAAACATGAGCAACATAAAAATAAAACCGAAGTTGGTAACTTGTCTAACTGCATTAAATAATACATTTCATTATTCATATTCATTCGGAGTACCTACCTAATGTTAATTATTACTATAAATTATCTCTGAGTTAGTGTTGCTCAGGAATAATGTAGTTTAGGGGTTTCTTTCATCTTTTATTTTGAAAAAAAAAAAACGCCCAGCAGGGTCATTTTTTTGAGGCCGGAACCCTAAAAAAACTGGAATTATTGTCTATGTGTACTTTTTTTCGATCGCCTTAACGTCCGTCTTCATCTGGCTACCAATGCAGAATGAAACACGCCAATGTATGAACGACACCACGAAAATCTGCCGAGCGCGTTCGGCCAACGTGTCATGGAGCCATAGAGTAGAGTAATATATACTGAAATAGAGAGCCATCTCCTAGGATTTTTTGTCACCCAATATGAATAGTGTCGCCGCCTAGCCCTTTACAACCGGACAAAAAAAGTTAAGATTTATTGTAATTTATGATATAGGTCGTATTTATAGAGCAATACGCTACCCAGGAAAAATACTGAAAAGAATCGGAAAAGCTAGGTTTTCCTGAAAATTGCCTGCACGTTCGTGCACTTTAGGATTTGTTTTACATATGCACATTTGTGCATCTTTATGGATTTGTGTGTTTATTGAGGTAATAAGACAACATTTATAAATTAAATAATTATTTTCAGAAAAATTAAGTATTACTATAATAATCAGTCTTAATAATTATTATTAATAAGTATCAAAATAAGGAACATTTTCTTATTAAACATTAACTTAAACTTTTTATGTAATTAAATCACAATTAACAAGTAATTAAACGTTAAGTAATCATGAAAATTTAACAAAAATAGTAACAATTATTATCTAATAAAATTTTTAGCATATTATTAAAAAAAGTAAATTTAAAAAAAAAACAATTAGTTACAGTGTGAATGGGGCACTACACTCTATTATGAAGAACCAGAATGTGTCAAAACAGGCACGTATGGTAATTCATAATGCTGTGTTAGTCCCTACGTTAATGTATGGTAGTGAAAGCTGGGTGTGGCAGAAGAAGCACGAAAGTAGAATAAATGCTGTAGAAATGCGTTCTTTAAGAAATATGCTAGGGTTTAATCTGAATGACAGGGTGATAAATTGCGTGATAAGAGATAAATGTGGTATGCAAGATGATGTTGTGACCAGGATTAAGAAAGGAATGCTTCGGTGGTTTGGTCACGTAGAAAGAATGAATGATGAAAGAGTGACAAAGCAAATTTATATGGCAGATGTGAACGGCCGAGTCGGGAAGGGACGCCCTAGAAAAAGTTTGTCGACCAAATTGGCGATATTTTGAAAATGGGCCACGTTAGAAGTACCCTTAACCGACGAGCATGTATGCGTAGATATATGGATGTAAAGGAGGCGAAAGAGGTATGTCAGGATCGTGCCAAATGGAAGTCCGTAATCTCTGCCTACCCCTCTGGGTGACAGGCGTGAGTGTTTATGTTATGTTATGTTATGTAATTAGTTACAATGAAATTTTTTAAAGCAATTCTGTCCTCGAATTATACAAAGATAAGTTTTACATTTCAAGCAACGATTTTTTTGTGCGGCTTCTACATGTTTCTAATTGGCAAAATCTAGGCGATTTTAAATCATCGAATACCGGCAAATGATCATACCCATCGTACCGTAGTGTTGCCGATGGCATTAGAGCTTTTTTAAATTTCCTCGGTATTATGTTTTCAACTTCCTCCATGCCTTCTGTGCGACGTTTTTCAGGGAAATTTAGTAAGACCTCAGATATCTCAAGACGAAAGTCTAATAAATCTAGTGTTTTATTCCGTCTGTAATTATTGGAAGTGCAATCTATTTTGTAAGCACGCCAAGCGTTGACTAAAGCTAAATCATAAAAATGAATGAGTACTTTTTAGTGTCCATTTCCGAGTTTTTATGAATGTTCGGTAGTATTCAACCTGTTGGTCGAGAACATCCACTCCCCCCATGTATCGGTTATAATTTTGAATTATTTTTGGTGCAGTTACGTCAACATAGATGCGAGTTTGCTTATCCCACCTTTTAACCATTTCAGTACAGTTAGACCCAGTGCAGTTAGAAGCTATCAATACAGATTTATTGTCTTTCCACTTTACCAATACTGTAGGGTCCCTTACCATCTGCTGGCTCTCACCACGATACATTTGACTATCCTTCTTGAATTTTAAACTAGTCTTGTCCGGTATTCTATTCGCCATGATAGTTCCTGTGCTGTGTAGGTTCCGCTTTTGTAATTCTTCTATTAATGGAATGGTTGTGAAATGTCTGTCGTGATATAAACAACTTCCTTTGGGAACGCTTCTTGATAAGTGCAAAACTACGGAGGGTCCAAGACCAAGATTAGTGTCCCCAAACATTGTCCTAGCCCCTTGATAAATGTTAAAGTCTAACATAAGCCCATCACTTGTTGTGAGGACATAGTTTTTGAGACCAACTGGTCGTGGTTTATTTTTAACAACTTGTCTCAATGGGCATCGACCAGTGAATGGAATCATCTGTTCATCGATAGAATAGTGCCCTGAAACCCTTTCTTGCTTGTAACAACCATTGCGAACTTGAGTTATCATAGGTTGTACTTTCCACAACGGATTTGTCGCCTGTTGAGGTGGTGCAATATCAGTGCCTACTACATGCAATGCATTTCGCAGTTGTAAGAATCGATCACGGCCCATTTTGCTAGTTATTTTGTCTAGGGAAATGCCACTACGCCAGTACATAGGCAGCCTTGGGAATGGAATACATCCCATTAAAATATGAATACCAAAAAAGTTTCTGTATCTCAGACTTCGTAGTTTTTAATTCATTCCCAGTCTTTCTCAAATAGTATAAATTAGTGCAAGTACTGACCATTTCAAAAAACTGGTCATCAAAGTAATCTCGCACGTAATTAATTGGTTGTCTTACCGATATAATAGGTCGTTCAGGGTACGTATGCTGTTTATCTTCAAACAAAGTAACTCTCCAGCGACTAGGGCGGGAATCAGAGCAACACGGACGTTTAGCAGTCGGTACTACAGAAGAAGGTGCTGGTACGGACTGGTCTGGTAATAGACTGCCTTTCACCTGGTCATATTTTTGATTTTCAGCAGGATCTTCGGGTAAATCAAGGTCAAATAGATTGTCCAAGACAGCACGATTAAAAAACGGTTCCTCGTCGTCGGAATCGTCAAAACACTCAATGTCCGAATCATTGCCGTCACCCAATACTTTTAAAATGTCTTCGTCATGCATGCAGCCTAAAAAATTCACAAATAACCACTTAAATTATATCGTACAACGAAATGAAATAACACTGTAATTATATTAAAAAAGTATAAGTAACACCTAAAACGCACGAACGTGCATCTTTAAATTTGATGCAGAATAAATGAATTAATAATGAACATAATTACAAAAAATACGTAATAATGTTATGAGTTGGTTTATTACTAATAGAATTAAATAGTTTAATAAAAATATTCCATTAAAACACGAGAAAATAATTATACTTACTTGAAGCGCCTCGCCCGCCAAAATACGCTGCCATTTCCAACGAGGTACTGTGGCGCAGTGACGAGTCATAACTTTTATTATTATGTTTTTTATTAAGGATTATATCATGCACGAGCGACCGATGTCGGTTGCGTTCGGTAAAATAAGTTATGGGAAGCGCTAGATTTTTTCAAAGTTAAATGCACGCTTGACTATGAGTCGGTTGTAAAGGGCTAGTATCATATCCCTTGAACTAATCTCAATATCATGTTGACTATAGATTGCTGTATGTAGTTATGTATATACAGCTATCTATACTATAGGCGGTTATATTTATATTTTAAGGGATTAGGGTTCAATTAAAGACGTATTATAGATTTCAGTAATATTAACATTTATTTTTGTTATATATATTTAACATACACGATATAAAAGCGTCTATTCCGCAAAATACACACAAAACCAAATTAAATATGTCCACTGGGTTACCGGAATGATAAATGAAAGCGTCTATTTCGCACAACACTACACAAACATACAATGTAATTCCAGCAGTCTAACAACAAAGAAACAGAGGGCTAATCCCAACTCAACCAAACTTATTGTAGCAACAACCGAAAATCACTTATAAACTATAATAAAATAACAACTTGCTCAGCGCCGGTAGCCATTATGTCATGTAAAGTTGCCACTTGCCATTTCCAGAATAACCAGAATTGGTGTAGTCGCCATCTAGCGCACCTTTTAGAATTTAATGTTCGAAAGTTTATGGGGATATAGTACAAGATGGCACTAGTGTCTTTGCAAATTATTGAACCCCAACCTAAAGTATGGAAGTGTACCCCCCTGCATGGAGCCTTTAGAGAACAGGCAAGGTGTTTCGAGCGATAACGTACATAATCAGCACATGCTTAAATCGCATAATCTGTGGAATTCATCTGAATATAAACTATGTAAAGCAATATTTCTTTTTCGTAATAAAACAGACCTCACTAAAAATTATTTTAATTATTTACAAATAATTTACTACAGAGTAGTAAGACGCCACTGTTATTCATGTTTTAAATATGTTTTTGAATATTTTTTTATTATTAGGTGAAAGTGGTGCTCTGTTCGTTTATGGAAAGAGTTTAAGCCTCCTCCTTTGAACTAATATAGTGTATGTTGTTGTCAATCGTATGTGACTCAGCATAGCTTGTGTTGGCATATTATATGTTTGATGTTATTCGTGTAATTAATTGTGGTTTATGTATACCTACTACGGTCGCTTCCGATCTTTATCAGGTTCCATTAGTGAAGAACGCTTCGTTTATTTTCTGTAATTGTTGTGTTATTTACAAGGTGCATGATGAAAACAATTTGTCAATCCAGAATAACCGTTTCTTATTAAATATAGAAACCGGGCATCTACATTTTAACCGTACTTTCCTGTCACTGGCCATTTACTGATGAATAATAACTGACGTAATCATAAATAAAGTCTTATGTACCGAGAGACTGTATATTATGCCGTATAGTGACACGCTTATCATTATAAACAACGTGAGGGTAAGGCTTAAATTTTTTGCGCAGTCGCATAATAGAAATTACAACGGAATGTGTCACAAATAAAAAAACGTTGCAGAACGGAATTTGTAAAGTGTAGTTAGTGCACATGAATTGTAATTTTTGTTGTACATTAATTGTATGTTTTAATTTTATTTGTAAATCATTATTAATAATTAAGTATACTTCACTGCTAACGGGTAACGGCTACCTAGAATCTATAAAGATATCAATTACATAGCCTTAGCCCATTACGATAGCATAGTGCTAGGTGCGGACTTGATCCCGTGATCCGGATATACTCTGGACGTAAGTACCTAATTACCTACGTCATTATTGGGTTATACTATTAAATTAAAAGTAATATATGCAAAAATCTAAAATATTTATTAAAAATCAGTCTAAATGAGATACAACATGTCATTAACAGTGTCGAAAAACGAAATATATTTTTGAGGGTTGTGTACCCTTAAAAATATATTTTGTCACAATCTTCAGTAAAACTGTACTCTCCTGATTTCTCAAGCGTAGTTTATCTTTATTAACTATTAAAATGTTGTAAACAATGTCAAAATCTTTGTTTTCGGTATTTTAATGAATTTTGTAATAAGATCTTGTCCTTTAATTATTATTGTCTTTAGAAAATGAACTTTATAAAAAATGTCATCATTTTTGATTTCGATCTTTTCAATAAAACCTACGTAATACTTCCAGATCTTTCTTTGGTAATATATTAATAATATACTGTCGCTTATTTTATATAATTCAGGCACATCTGTGTCTTTATCTTTTGAACTACGTGAATCCGGATATTCGAATATTAATGTACATAATAATTCGAAATATACATTTTCTTTCTTGAGAACACAAATGAAAATTGGTAGTGGCCCGTAATTACTTTAGTTAAAATAAGCTTCATTTTCAGGTGTGAATCGTACTTCAGATAAAACTTTTACTTCATTGTTTTGGTTTGTCTCGTTCAATACTTCTGTTTCTATTTCTCGCATAGTCAGCTCGTCATCAAAATTTAAGTAATCATCGTCAGTATCGGCGTAGTGATTCTCATTAGTATCAGTATCTTCCTCAGAAGTTGTGTCTGATTCCTTATTTGTGTTTTTAGCTCCTATACTTGATTTCATCTCATTATTTATCTTATTTTTTATTTCTGGGGTCAGTTTTCTTACCAGAAACTTTGTTTTGTGTTTGAAATTCTGAATTTTAGGCGAAAACAATCACAAGCTCCTCTTGCGCAAAAATCACTCAATGATCTGTATTTTATGAACAGTAAACATTACAACGTTTTATAAATTATAAATTGATAAAATGTAGTAATGATCTGATGGATTTTCATAGTGTTAGGTGCCGGGGCCGTCTACAGCGCCGGACACATATGCGCGCATAGCGGCCGCGTCCAGAACAATACGACCGCCATCACCACCTGCAACAGGACCACCACCACCCACTGAGTCGCCGACAGCGGCGAAATACCTGCCTATAATAGTGGAGTGCTTCCCAAATTGGGCGAAGCACTTTAAAATATTTCACCAAATTATCGGACACGCCCCGAATGCTCGCCCGTTTGGGAAAGGGGTTCGCTTCCGGCCTCAAACAGAGGACGAGTACAGGAAAATACAGAAATATCTTATTGAAAAAAGTAGAGAGGACGCCACTATTGCGTGGTATTGCTACGCCGTGCGAAGAGCAACCCACGAAGGTGGAGTTAAGAGGACTCCCTGCCGACACAGATCCCCAGGACATTCAGGATGCGCTCATCGAGATGGGATTTCCTGTCACTTTCGTGAGGGCGATCCCGCCCAAAAGGGGGAGGCCCGGATGTCTTTTTCATGTAAAACTTGACCACCTGTACCTGGAGGAACTTAACCGACTTTACAAAATAAACGAGTTATTGTACATGCCGGGGATCACCATAGAGGGCTGGCAGGGCAGAATTGGCACTGCACAATGTCATAGGTGCCAGGGATTCGGGCACGACTCGGTGAATTGTCACCGCCCATTCAGATGTGTTCGCTGCGCGGGTAACCATCCCGCATCAGAGTGCCAAAAGCCGCGTGATGCACAGCTTAGTGCGCTAACTGCACTAAGACCAACGCAACCAGCGACCGACGGTGCCCGGTACTGCAGAGAATAGCAAGAAAAAGGGGCATCAATCTGCTGCAGCCGATGCCTCCGCAAGCAGCGAGAGTTCCGTAGATTCGATATCAACCACAACCGCAATTCCAGCAACAGTGGCGACAACACCAACAGTATCACCAACAACAGCTACATCCACAACACCAAGCGCCGCAGCCACAACAATGGCACGCAAACTCTTGCGCCAGCGCCATCTACATACGCAATAGCAGGGGCAACACTACCCCCCCCCCCCCCAGCGAATGGCCTCACGGAGCGTTAATACAGGCTCCAAAAAGAAGAGGTAGAGGAGGAAGAAAAAGAAGGCGGCCACTCAGGCACAAGAAGCAAGAGGGATACCGACCTCGCTTCCCCCATCCCCTACTTCCATCTTACAACAACCGCGACAACAGCCACAAAGTCAAACCCGAGAACAATCCCAACGCAGGACTGCAACAATCGCCACACCTACTACACAGACCACCCACGTAACAACCACCCACGTAAAAACCACCGTCGAAGTAGCCCTCACGGAAGTGGTGGGTGTGGTGATTAGGATATTGGGAGATGTCCTAAAAGCGATGACTACGGGGTCCAACCCTCTTACGGCGTTATTAGGCGCCCTAGCCCAGCTGTCGGCTATCAACAGAGGGCCGACAACTTAGAATTCTATACTGGAACCCCGGCGGCATCACTGGAAAGGCCGCTGAACTCCGAATGCTGGTCCAGCGGTACAACATGCAGATTGTACTGCTGGGAGAAACAAAGCTGCGCCCCTCCGCTCAACTGAAGCTTCCCAACTTCTTCGTGTATTAACACGACGATGTGTCCCCCGAAGGTGTCGATACGAGGATAAAAGGGATCAGAATTAAGGTGGGCAGCAGAGAGATCAGAATGTATGCTGCCTACAGACCTCCCGGTACTTCATTTAACCCCCTAGATATAAGGAAAATATTCGATGCAACTACACCTGCAATTATCGCTGGAGAACTCAATGCAAAACATCCTGCTTTTCGGCTCCGCGATAATTACCCCACCTGGAAAGAAACATTTCGACGATGCGGAAGACTGGGGGTACGTTCTGGGCCCAGACGAGCCCACTCACATCCCCACCAAAGCAGAACACCAGCCCGATGTTCTCGACATTGTGCTGTGCCATCAAATGTCATACCTAATGCGGCTAGAGGTGTTGTACGATCTGGACGTACAGCACCTCCCCGTGTTGTTAACCATCGACACAAGTGCGGACGCTGTAGTTCCCAGAGAGTTAAAAATGAAAACTAACTGGAGGACCTTCGACTCGGCGCCAACATAACAACCAGAGAGAGTAGTTTTTACTGCTTACAGATGGACACTTTTTCAACTGTTCTCAGATGTAACAACGCATCTGTGGCTATCTTTGTTTGAAGTTGGCCGCAGGTGTCCTTGGACTTACTGGAACTTCAGTTTTATTGAAAAAAGTGTAGATTTTTGCGTTTTCGTTTGTCACCATGCGCATTGTGAATAAGTTTTATATAGATATAAAATAAGACATACTGTTTAAAATATAGTAAATTTTTAAAATTACTTTGTAAATGGTGCACACAACATCGGTCATTTTTATAAAGCTTAAACTTTAATCTTTACTTAAAGTAAAATTATTGATTTGATTCTTGGTTTGTAAATATATGTAAATGTTTTGTTATAAATTTTTTTTATCATTACAGCCTATCAATAGTCCAATATTGATTATTTATAAATAATCAAACCATCCCGTTATATATTGACCCTTTGGAGAGATATTTTCCATAGTGGCAACTCTCTGGTGTATAGTGTATTATCTATGGTGGCTACGCTTTACATGCTGGTTAGCAACTACATACCATTTATGTATGATTAGTTGATTAGCAACCGCAGTATGGAGTGTAGAAGTAAGGAGTACAGACTGTGTATTAAAAAGTGTCCATGGAAAACCGTTAAATAAGGGTGGCGCCACTATAGCTACGGGCTAAATTTTAAAGAACGTGCCGAAAAATATTAGCGGGATAGACGACTTTTTTGAGGTTATATTTGCTAAATAAAATTATTTTAGATTTTAGAGCTACTAAGCAGTTTAGCAGCACACTTCAAACCGTCGACAACTGTTAAGTTCATTTCATCCCAGTAGCTACTCCAGCGCTGTTGTGGTGAGTTTTTGGACTATTATTTACTGCTTACAGATGGCCACTTTTTCAACTATTCTACTATGGGAGTTGGTACTCCTACTTCTACACTCCATAAACCGCAGTTTTAATTGTTCATTTCCCTCCACATAGTACTTTTTGTATACCTGAAATTTCCCTCTATCGCCGCTTACGACACCCACTCATTTCTATAACATTTTAAAATAATAAATGAAACATTTTTATATTTACTTCTTTTTATTTAACAAAATAGAATTAATGTAATGTTTAATATACAAAACTATAACCTATTATCTCAGATGTAATATTAATATAATTATAATACTACTATAGCGCAAAATGCTTCATTATATTAACTATTTATAACCTTTTTAGACATAAGACTTTCGAATGGCACAAACACGCTTTGAAACAAAACTAATTACCTAAATAATATAATTTGTTCACAGCCTTTTATGTTTGTTTTCTTAATGTGAACAAAGTAATGTGTGGAAAAGTTTACGTACAGTAAACAACAATATTTACAAACGACAACATGCATCATAAATTCACAAAACGAATACAGCATTATCATTTAAATTTAAAATCAACTAACTTACAAAATATTTAATATGTTATGATGTTGCTCAATTTAAACATCTTTAGAACTTCTTCTCAAACAAATAAATCTTAATCATTATAATGCTGTTTTTAATTGTTACTATGTGTATCAACCACATCTCAGTCATACCGCAGTTCGTGATAATTACCTACTAGAAACTAAAGCTAGCACTGGCAGCTTAATCCTATATTAAATTCTCAACACCTCAATACTTTTAGGTTTTTTGTACTTAATTTACAGGATTGCCAGCAATTAATAAAAAAATTCTGACTTGGAATAGCATTATGGAGCACATTATGTTTTTAAAATGACGTGAGTAAATCAATCCTCGTAACCGTGTTTGTTCATAAAATAAGGTAGAACATATAGTGATGCCCCTTATTTTCCTCTGTAGGTCATTTACCAATTGTACTCAAAAAAGTAGCATAGTTCTTAACTAAAGCCTAATTTCATTATTCACCGAGTGGGTTGTTGAGATTTCAATCTGCTGTTGTTTCCTGTTTTCCTGGGAACTTCTGTTCCACGGTTGTTCCTCTCCAGACGCCCACGCCACGAATACCAAGTTTGTACTAATGAAAACGGCTAGAGTTATCCAAAATACTAATCGCCATTGAACGAGGGTACTCTGTAATGACAAAAAATATACATATTAGAAATACAATTTGTAACGTAATTGCAGCTGAAATGCCTATCTACTGCGCTCTGCGTCGCATAATAAACCATTATCTCTAAAATTAACACGTGAAAACACACTGATTTATTTAGGAAATCTGGGTTAGGCAGTTACTATTCAGATTATTAAGACACTAATATATTATAGGCATAGAATAAGAGTAGTAAGTGAATTATTAGCCTAATACACATCTACATCATTCCTCGATTAAGAATCAAGATGTAGATGCTTTGTTACCCTAGAGAACTAAGGTAGAATGCTTCTATGCCAGTAAAAAAGCCCTCTCTCTACATTCACCATGCGGTAAAGCGGTAATAAGCTTTGCCATTCTGTCTGTGAGAGTGTGGTCTTTTTCCGGTCGAGCCGACATGAGGAGGATCTATAGGAAAAATTTTTTTTGTATACATCAATAAAGAAAATAGTTTATTGACAAAATGGCCATTAGTTTGATTAACCTTTTGAGCGCCAAAGTCGTCTATACGTGACCAGCACCCGCGTGCCCTGAGCGCCAACGACGTCTATAGATGACAAAAAACCCGGCCCACAAAAATATGAAATATAGACATTGGAAAA